AGGGCACCAGAGAGCTCCATGATAGTCCTCAGGCTGAAGAACAAGTAGCTACAGCTGTGATCCAGGGATCCGGCAACCACCAACCACGATCAGGACATGGTTGCTGCTACATTCTGATGCAACCACCTCTCAATATTTGCAAAGCTAGAGACATCACTGAATCACTGTATAGAAATACATCACATCTTTATGCCCCCGCTTGCCAGGACAAATAGCCAAAACAGCAGTACTATGAATAGAATAGTGTTGCTATTTGTCTCACTTTTATCTTATAAACTTCACCTGACTACATCTGGTTGGCTGCAAATATAATCCATTGCTTTTTAACCTCTGCATTACAGGAAAACACACCAGAGGGAGACAGGCTGTACGCTGAATGCTAATTAACCATGTCCATCACTCCACTGGTCTGAAAATCTACCCAACAAGGGATTTTATTCCTTTATTCCAATAAAATCTCAATAAGGAATTTTATTCCTTACTTCCCTTTCTTCTGACACATTGTTTACATCTAGACTTGCAACTGATTTTTGTGTATTTTGTATCCCAGCACTATTTGTCAAAGAGATTTTCCTTGCTCCATTGTATACTCTTGGCACCTTTGTCATAAATTAACTGTTCATATAAGTGTAGGTGTATTTCTGGACTCTTAGTTCTATTCTGTTAATTGTTATGTCCATTTTTATTCCAATACCATACTGTTTTAATTTTAATTTGGGGGGATACTTTTTTTTCTCTTCCATATGTAGACATGTTCCACGCTTCCACCAAACCACCTCTCTGCCTCCCTCCAACATTCCCTCCTCCCTCCCTCTTGTCCCCTATGGCAACCTTTATATTCTTTCACTGAGTTCAAGGTTTATTCTTTTTTTTTTTTTAAGATTTATTTATTTATATATTTATTTATATAAGCACTGGGTACAGTCAGAAGCGCGGGAGGGTGAGAGAATTCACCACAGCCAGAGCGGGGAGCAGAGCAGGCAGAAGGACCGAAGTACACTGCTGAGGGGAGCAGCGGGCGGCAGGAGAGGTCTGCGCACCATGTGGGACCCTCCTCCGGTGGCCGGGGAGCAGCCGGGGATCGAACCCGCGCTGCAGAGGCTGCGGGCAGCTTCGCAACCCAGCGCTCAACTGCTGCGCCACCGGGGAGGCCCTCAAGATTTATTCTTACTTTTTTTTGCCTGTGTATATTCCATAGATGAGTGAAACCACCCCATATCTTTTACTTTTTGACTTAATGTCACTTAACATAATCACCTAGAAGTCCATCCAGTTTGTTCTGAGTGCTACTACTTCATCTTTTCCACAGCAGTGTAGTATTCCTTTGAGTATATATTCCACATTTTATCTATTCATTTGTTGGCGGGCACTTAGGTTGGTTTCATGACTTGGCAACTGTGGGCAGTTCTTGTCTTTTAGGATTATAAAACCTTCCACTGTCTTCTGGCTGGAGAGTGTCTGGGCTGAGGTCTGGGGAAAGCCTAATTTGAGAGCCTTTGGGGTTATTTTCCCCTTGCTTCCTGCAAAAATTTTTCCTTATTTTTTTTTTTTATTATTTAACAATGATGTGTTTAGACATAGGTATTTTTGTATTTATAGATTTAGGTGTTCTTTCTGATTTCTGGACATCCATATTTTATTCATTCTTTAAGTTTGGGATTTTTCTCAGTTATTTCTTTGAACAGGAATTAGTGTGCTCTCCTTTCTCTTCATCTTCTCCATCTTCTGGGATCCCAGTTATTCTTTTTTTTGTTTGTTTGTTTTATTTTTATATTCCCCATACAATTGCAACCCCCTTATTTTGACCCTAATCCCTCCCCTCCCCGCCCCCCACCCCAGTTATTCTTAAGTTCCCTCTGTTAATCTAGTCTGATATTTCTTGTAGAGTTTGCTCATTTTTCCTTTGTTTTCTCTTTTCCTAAATGGATAATTTGTTCATTTGAGTCTTCTACTTCTGAAATTTTTTTCCTGCCAGTTTAGTTCTATATAAAGCTCTTTCTGAATTTGTCTGCATTTCATTCGGAATCTTTGTTATGTTTATATTCAGCCTCTTTGGTGAAGAACTCTTTCTTCCTGGATCTCCTGAGATCTTGCACTTGTCTGCCTTTGACCTTCTAGTAGTTCATTTAGCAATTTTAATGTTGTTTTGAAGTCTTTGTCTGATAGGTCTGCTGTTTCTATATTCTTTATATATCTAGGGCTTTTGTTTTTCCATCTTGTTCAGATGCTCCTTGCTTCCTGGGCATGAATGTTGTCTTATTTGTGATTTTTTAGTGTGTGTGTGTGTATGTGTGTGTGTGTGTAGTTGGTGGGGAGGCACTGGGGATTTTGTTTTGTTTCTCTTCTTAGTTTACCTTGGCAGGAGGTGGGGGCAGGAGGGGACTCTGGGGTTTTGGATATTCCGTCTCAGTTTGAGCAATGAAGTTGGTCACCTCTACCTTCTTTCATTCCATAGCAAGATGTGTTCTGTGCTTAGGTTGTCTTGACTTCCTACCCTGCCTCCCTGTAGCTTCTTTCTGCCTCAGGTCAAGAGATTTGAGCCTCTTGGTGGGTGGGGAGCAAGGTCTGGACTGTCAGGCTCACATTGCTGGACTAAGTTGTGCTTGGCAGGCAGGGGCAGTGCAGTGCCTGAGTGTCTTGGTTGGGCATGTATCACCTTGTTACAATGGCTGCCAACAATGCCCTCACCACCCTGCCCCTTCCTCTGCTGCTACTTCTACAGGGCTGCAATATCTGCAATCTCTTTTTTTACTTTCCCCAGGGATTTGTGAGTTATCTTACAAGTCCTCTCTCTGCTATTGGGTTTTGTTTGGAGTCCAGCATGGCTCAGCCTGGTGTCTTTGATCTCTTCTGGAAGGGGGCTGGGGCGGGGGGGGGGGTAGATTTTGGGGCGGGGTGGAGGGGGGAGATTTTGGTGCTTGTACTGACCATGGAGTTTGCAGTTCCCTATGCCTGTACCTGCAGAGTTCCCACTGCTCCGGGTTCGGGTCTGCACCCACACATCAGCAAAGTTCCTGCAGGGAATTTCATAATGCTATGTATTGCCCCATCATGGCTTGGGTAGTTGACCCCCAGCCTATTTTTCTAGCTGGGAAATCTATTCTCTCAGGCGTGCTCCCCTTTGCTCCCTTCCGCTCAGTGGCCACCAATCTTAGTTCAAGATCTCCATGGGCAAGTCTGGGGACTCTATAGATAGGACAGAGCGTCTGGATTGTCTTATGAGCAAATATTATTGTTTATAGTTGTTGAGTAATCCCAACCTCTCTATTCTACCATGTCGTGGGTGGAGTCACCCCTATACAGTTTTGAATACTGTATATTCTCTCACTGGCCAGGATCTCTTTTTTTTTCTTTTTTTTTAAGATTTTTATTTATTTATTTACATAAGAACCGGGGTACAGGCCAGATTCACGGGAGGATGAGAGAATTCACCAGAGACAGAGCAGGGAACAGAACAGGCAGACTGACTGAAATACACTGCTGAGGGGAACAGCAGACGAGACAGGAGAGGTCTGCCACGCCATGTGGGACCCTGCCTGGCCAGTGGGGATTGAACCAGTGCTGCAGAGGCTGTAGACAGCTTCACAGCTGCGCTCAGCCGCCTGCACCACCAGGGGAGGCCCCAGGATCTAGCTCTTGCTGGCAGTAGCTTGCTAGCTCTGAGACTTTAACCCCTGTGCCACCAGGGAGGCCCACGTTTGTAATTTTAAATAAGAAAGAGCGATTCAAGAAAAGATAGCTATTGTATACCTCTAGAAAATGATTTCCTAAATTCCGGGTTCTGATCTAATCTCCACTGATCAAATACTTAATTAAAAAATTTCCCCTTATTTTGCCAGAATCTTTTCTGTTCCTGGGCCTGTTTCCTCATATGTAAAATGAGGGGCCGGTGTGGATTTATATTTTGTGCAGCCTGAAACATAAATAACTGGGGGCTGTATTTAAGAAAAAGAATGCAAAATTATTTCATAGTCAGTATCTATTTATAACAAGAAAAAAAATCACTACCAAATTTAAAATGCTGACAAAAAGGCAAACACTACACAATCCGGAAAAATAACATTACTATTATTAACTGCCTGGCAACCACGAAGAGCTTTCTCCCCCCCTACATTTTTTGGCTGCATACTCTTTACTTTTTCATATGACTATTTTGTACTATTTTTATAGCGCTATTTAAAAATAGTTTTAAAAATTGAGAATGTAGAAAAGTCGTTAAAGTCAGTGTCACAATTCTGCGTGCACAAGTGGCGTTTCTGGCAGGGAAAAAGCCTTGGGGGAGCTCCAGCTCTTTCATCTCCTTTGGCTTAGCTTCTTCCCGGCTGCCAGGGCAGCTCGCTCAGGGCCCGCCCTGGTCTCCTCTCCCACCCACCTCGCTCTGCTCCTAACTCCAAGAGCGAGGTGGCCAGGAAGGTCTCCCCATCTCTCCCAAACAGGGGGGTGCCCGCCGCCCTGTGCGCGCCCCTGGACCCAGGCTTGTGTTGAATGGGTCCAAGGAGGGTGTGTGCGTCCCTTGAGGCCTGGGATTGCTACTGCCAGCTCGGCGGCCCCTGGCAATACCCTTCAGGGTGCTCTGAAGCTTAAGCCCCACCAGGATCCCAATAAATAGGGCCCCCGTGAGCGACTGTGTGTTCTGTCTCTTCTCTTTGACAACCTATGATAAGCTTAAAACCAGAATCTGAGACGTTGCAGAGCTTTCCCTCCCGCGTCGGGGGAGGTCGGCCACTTGTCAGGTGTCTCGGGTGAGGTGCGGCCCTGCCCCCTGCCCCCTGTCCCCACCAGGGGCGGCTTCCCACCGCGACCCCGCTCGCGAGGAGGAAGAAGGCGGAAATCTTTCGCTCCGCGGTCGGTTGGCGACCGGAGTCTTGATGGACGCGAGTACTGTCCAATGACTCTGCAGCGAGCCCGTTGTTTATGCACTTACAGCCAATGGGAGCGCGGAAGTGCGCGGAACAGCCAATGAGGACGCGACCGAAGCGGAACTCGGGGGCTGGGCCCCTTAGCGGGGCGGACGCTCTGTGAAGAGGCTGGTGCGGACCGGGGAGCGGCAGAACCACATCCGGTAGTGGGAGAGCTGTGTGGGCTCCTGCGAGTAGGAAGGTACGTCTGAAGCTATGGCTGCGCAAGCCGGGGCTGGGAGATAGAAAGGGGTTTAGCAGTCATTGTCTGAGCAAAAATGGGAGCAGTCCCTGTTGTGGGACCGCACCCCGGGCCCGGGCCCAGCCGGGGGACTGGACTCGGGGAAACTGGGCGGGTGGGGGAGGAAGGCAGGGAACTAGTACCGCGCATGCGCGAGTGCCCCGAGGGGGGAGGGGCGGGGCGTCTGCGGCGTCTTTGGGGGCGTCGAGGAACGCGCTTGCGGCGCGGGAAGGCTCGCGAGCCGTCGGGGGCCCGAGGCCTCTCTCGCTGCGTCTCGTGTTCCGCCTTCCTCCTGCACCTGGGGTGTACCCCCGGGCGCGGGCGCAGCTCGGCCGCTTGAATCCGGGGCGCGTCTCCTTCCTCTTCTGGTGGCCGCGCCCGCCCCGCCGTGACCCCGGAAGGGCCGCCGGGCGGGGGGCGCTGTCGGCCGCGGGTGACGTCACACGCGCTCCTCGGCGACCCGCGCGGTCCTTGGCTACTGAAAACCCGAGGCGCAGGCGAGGGGAGACTGGGTTTGGCCCGGCCCCGCCCCCGGCCGGCCCCGCTCCGGTCTGACCGGTTACCGCTGGGCAGGTGAGCTGGCCCCGGCCGCGCTCGGTCCGGAGTCCGTGGGCGTCTCTCGCCAAGTCCGCCCTGGAAGTGTGTCGTGGGCTGTTTGCTTTTTGTTGGGCGTCCTTGCTGGAGCAGGGTATTTTTGTACGTCGTGTGTGGTATTTTTGTACGTTTTTATTTTTTTTTTAAAAAGATTTATTTTTATGCATACAAGTACAGGCCAGAAGTGCGGGGGTGGGGGTGAGAGGATTCACCCGAGACAGAGTGGGGAGCAGAACAGCCAGACTGACTGAAATACACTGCTGCGGGGAGCAGGGGGCGAGGCAGGAGAGGTCTGCCCCGCCATGTGGGTAGCTCCCTGGCCTGGGATCGAACTCGTGTGGCTGTGGTCGCGGTTAGCCTCATAGTTGGCGTCTTAACCCCTTCCGCCACCAGGGAGGCCCATTTCTGTACGTTTATAAGCGTGGAATTGTCCCTCCTGTAGCAACCTGGGACGCATTGCCAACCCCGTCAGCCTTTCGTTGACGAAACCACACAAATCTCCTGAACTTGACACTGTTCTTTTGTGAATGTGTAACCCAGTCCAAGAGCTGACTGCCTCACACACAAAGCTTTCAGAGTTAAAGGTCAGCGGAGAATGGACTTTTCTAGTTACTTATTGATGATTATTTCTGGTCTATCTTGTGGTGGAGTGTGTAGCTTGAGAATTCAGCTCAAGAACGATTATTGAAGTTGTGTAACCACATTTTTTAAGCCTTCTGCAAATACACGTCTGTATTCTATTCTCTTCGGTGTTTTCTTTTAATCCTTTGTCTCATTTTTTGAATTTGGCTTCAAGAATCTGTTGACATTTAGATTCTTTGCTACTTCCCACCAGTGGAGACAGGGTTTAAATCCCTGGAGAAAGGCAGCCTGTGATTTGGAGTTTTTTCCATTATTCATCTTGTGGAATCATGGCTTTAGGTACCTTCTTCCCTTCCCTCCCTTCCTCACTGTCGATCCCCCTGAAGTCTTCCTCTCCTAAAGGTAAAAAAGGTTAATTTCATCCAGATACTTAGTCAGCTTTTCCACTTTTTTTTGGTCCTGATAGTGGATATAGTTCGTGTTTGTTGTAGAAATGCTGATAAATACAGAGAAGTGTGATAGGAATCAGCATGTTAATTTTTTTTTTTAAGATTTCTTTTGACCTGTTGTTGAAACTGCGTTAATGAAAATCGGCTTTTCTGCTGTAGAGTAGTAGAGAGGGCACCAGACTTTTCTGATGTTGACCAAGTCAATACTGATGTTGGTTTAGTACTTTGTAATGATTTCACAGGTTTTCTTATTGGCATTTAGTTAACTTGGAAAAGCAGGTGTTAATTAACCTTCCTTTACAGATGAGGAAGCTTAGATGACCTTAGGTAAAGTGATTTCCCCAAAGCTATGTGGGAGAAATTGTCAGGACTTCTAACTCCAAATTCAGTACTCATCCCAATGTTGAACTTTTTTTTTAACCTTTAAAGTGGGACCGATCATTCCTCATGGATTTACGTGAAGATCAAAGGGGAGAATACACTTTGAAAGTCACAACATTTTATATAAATGTAGTAGTCAGTGGTGTTACAGAAGGTACCACTGCTGACTTGAAGAGTTTCACTGTATTTCATAAACTACCCAAGAGTATTAATTTCCCCTGGGAAATGCTGAATATTCTCTGAAGAGTTTCACTGTATTTCATAAACTACCCAAGAGTATTAATTTCCCCTGGGAAATGCTGAATATTCTCTTGATGCTCTATCTGCTGAATTTTTCTCTTCTACTTTGACTTGGCTGTAGAATTTGGTAGAAGTGTCTTGCGTTTCACTGCATTTTGTTACCCCGGTTTCTAACCAAGTTCCATGGAGTGGCTCTTATGTTACACACATTTTGTTATGCAAAGACTGTTCACACCAAGGAGAAAAGACTGTAGAGATTGGAGTTCAGTGACCTCTCAAGGTAGGGTGCCCTCTGAGTAAGGTTGATTTGAGGTTGCAACATTCTTATTCAGATGTGGTCTACTTTTGTTGTGGTGACTCCTGATTGTTCTTAAGTATGGGAGATAGCAAAAGCCTTGTTCTGAAGGGGCTTACAACCAAATGTGTGAGGAGCAGTTCTGTCACAATTAACTGAAACACAAAACATTTGAGAAAGAACTTTAAGGGTAGGGTTGAGTGGGTGTGCTGTTTGCCCTAATACATGCCTACTTTCATTTGACTAACTGGTGTTATTGGGAGCGATTATGTATTTAGGACTCTGGAACCTTATGATTCAAACTGTTAAGCAGTTATGGTTATAGAGAGGTTCAGTAGTGTCAGTTTGGGACAAGAAGCTGTTGAAGGTGATCGACTTGCCATCGCCAGTGGAAACTGATTTGGTTCTGAGGCCAGCCTCCTTGAGAGAGGATCTATTGTTGGCTAATTCAGGGATTTTTGGTCCAGTTTAAGAGAGGGGTTTGGGATATCTAGGGTTAGACAGGACAGTGAAAGCACAGCTCTAGTCTAAATGGAATTCTTTGCATTTTCTGAAACCAATTGCTAGGGATTGCAAGGAAGGCATCAAACTATTGACTATTTCAACAAATTTTCTGTCACATCAGATTATCACTTAGTGGTATTAGGCTGTCTCAAAATGCCTGCTTCCCTGTGGGACAGGAGATACAGTGTAAATGTATCAGAGAAGAGTTATGCCATTTAAACAAGTCATTTTAACCAGTAAAAGGGTTTATCGATTCCAGCCTATCGTTTTCATTTAATTTTTAATTTGGGTAAATATTAAACTTCCAGCATATAGCAAGCTATGAGCTAGTGGTTGAATAATTTCTAAAAATTAATGTACAGGTTATGTAAATAAGGCCTGTGATAAATATCTTCTAAAATTAGGGAGAATCATACAGGATTCATGATTCTCATATCATGAGGATAGAAGAGTTACGATTATTTACACCAGTAACAATGGTTAACATGTTGAACCAGTTTTTATGAAATACTCTTTAAAGCACTTTATATTCTTTCACTTAATCCTCCACCCTAAGTGTAGGGAATATTATCCTGTTTTACAAATGAGGAAACTGAAGCACAGTGAGGTTAAGTTACAGAAATCCGCATGTCATGTAGCTAAGGAAATTAACAGCTGGCACTACATCCAGAAGGCCATGCTGTTAACTACTGTGCTAGGGAAGTGGTTATACAGACTTTGAAAATGGTTCTATAGGACGAACTACTGAAATTTTTTTTAAAAAGTTAAAACAGTTCCTTCTCTCTCTCTCTCTCTCTCTCTCTCTCTCTCTCTCTCTCTTTCTACTATATGGGATTTTTCTTCTAAGAATTTGGTCCTTTCTAGATGTGTGGGAACAGAGTGCAAGATGGTTGAATTACTGTCACAAGAATGAACTAGTTCCAACAAAATTTTGGCAAAATATACATGGCAAATTTTGACAGATTCTGACAAATTTTGGGATTCCTGCTGTAAGGATGAAAGTGTAAAATGAGACTCTCAGCCAAATTAAAGGAATTTGTTTATGATTAACACATGAACATTTACTTGTTATTTAGAAGTTCAGTCCAGGCAAATTTCCTGAGTCTAGGAGGCACTATCCACATTGTAGTCTATGTAAATAACCCCATCGTCCTATTCTAGAATTAAATGTAAAACTGGGAAGTGGGAGAGGTTTCAATTTTCAGATTTTCTTAAAAGATTTCATCTTATTTTTTAAAAGATTTATTTATTTATGCATACAAGAACTGGGGTACAGGCCAGAGGTGTGTGTGTGGGGGGGATTCACCAGAGACAGAGTGGGGAACAGAACAGGCAGATTGACTGAAATACACTGCTGAGGGGAGCAGGAGGTGAGTCAGGAGAGGTCTGCTGTGCCATGTGGATAGTTCCCTGGCCAGGGATTGAACTTGTGTGGCAGTGGCCATGGTTAGCTTCATAGGTTGTGTCTTAACTAACCCTTGCGCCACCAGGGAGGCCGGAGTCTCTGTTTTAAACCCAAGATTCTCATTTAACTTTATTAATTCATGTCACTGAGGTCCTTGGTTATTGGTTTTGTATGCGTCATCTGTTCATGGGACTGAGAATATTGGGACAAGAACTTCTGTTAGCTATAAATGCAATTTATTCTTGCTAAGCTGAGTTTACATGTGGGCATTGAAATGTAGGTATCTCTTCTATGCAGCTTCTGAGAGCAACTAGTTGAAACTAAGATAAAAACTTTGTAGTCTATCTGGCAAAACTTTTAGGCAAGAGTTTTAGTTAACTCATAACTTACCTATATCTTAGTTCTTGTCTATATGGAACAGACCTAGAGCAAACTATCATATTTCCTTGATTCTAAGACCTAACTTCCCTTGCATTTTAACATTTTTTGAAATTATGTCATATATACAGCATGTCATTTTTATTAAATGTATATTTTTCTTGCATTTTTTCACCGTCTCCCCTAATAAAGCTGTTATTAAATTTGTATCTAGAAAATTTGAGTTTCACTCAAATTTTAGAATAGGTAGTGGTGTTGGAAATTGATTTTCTTTGATTTAAAGCCATGAGCCATTGCTAAATAATAGAGAAATTTCTACTGGACACCTTCCCTACCCTCACAGCCTTTGATGGAACAGTTTTTTCCATCAGCAGTTGTAAGTGGGGCCTTCATTTCCCCTGGGAAATGTCAAAGAGTGAAAGAGGAGTTTGTCATTCTCCACTCAGTTGTTTCCACTCAGCTGGTCTGGTTACAGGCTGTTGCCCCTTTTCTAACAATCCTCTGAGTAGTTTTAAGAGCCCCTCCTTCCTCCCCTCCTCGCCCTTATTTTTTAACTCTTGAAATTGGAAGCAAGAGGGCTCTAGTGTTGTTGTTGTGAATACTGAGAAACTTGACTCTGAAGGTTGCTTCAATACTGTTGCAACTTCTGTCTGGGGATGTCATTAGAGGTGTTAATGGACGCCTTAAACAAAGACACTTTCCAGGTGCTGAATTCTGCCATCCTGTAAGTGGGCTCTCTAGAGGATTATTCCTCATGGTTATGGAAGGCTGTGGTTGGCACTGCAACAGCCTGCAATAATTGCACCATCTAGATCAAGAGGGCCTGGAGCCCCACGACTTAGAGGTGAGAGCAACAGCTTTGGTAGCTTCTGCCGCTTCTCACTGTATCCATCCTTAAAAACAGAACTAACAAAAGGACTGAGGTGAGTCAGATGTTGGTGAGGAAGGAAGAGGAGAGGAAATGAGGGAAAGCCAGACAGCCCTTTTAATTTTCATTTGTGAGAGAGACCAGGAGGAAAGAACAGATAGTGAGGCTGGTGAGTGCTGGGAGTGGATGGCATCTTTCCACTGCTCCAGGACTCATCAGGAGGTTGATTAGGGATTGTATTAACTTTTATTGTCCATATTAATTTTGCAGATTATTGGGGTTAGGCGCCACTGATTAGAATGAACATGAAATAGTTGGCTTGTTTTTGAAAACTTACCTTTTTTTTGGCACCCCCCTCCACTTTTTTTGTAGATTTGAAGTGAATTGACATCATGCATCTAATGAGAGTCTGGGAGATTTATATTTCGAAAAATGAACACTCTTGATTAGAGTTTAGTCCTATAGGCTGACCCATGTTTATTTAGAATTGCATGTGAGCAACACTTAAGAGCCTGCCTTTATGGTACTGATGTTATTTAACCTGTGTGTAGTTCAGTTTAAGTGTGCCCTTTCTGACATCTTGGAACAGTTGGAAAGAGCTGAATAATGTCTGTAGATCAGATAATAGTATTGTATCAGTGTTAATTTCCTGATCTTGATCATTGTCTTCAGGATATTCATACTTAAGTATTCAGGTATAAAAGGGCATTGTTTCTGCTTGACTAAGAAAAAAATATTTTCTAAGTGTACATATTGTCACATAGAGAGAATAAAGCAAATATGATGAAATAACATTGAGGATATTTGGGTAAAGGGCATATAGGGATTCTTTGTACTGTTTCAGCTCTTCTGTAGGCAAAGTTCAGAAATTTTGTAAAAAAAAATCCTTTCTGTACAAATTCCTTTTTCTCAGAGGTAAGCACTTTAAATTTGTGACTCAGTTTAGTTTTAAAATGCATTAGGTGGGGAGTTTCTGACATCTTCAAGCAGTAGTATAAAATTGCTCTGTGTTCTGGTGACTGAGTCCCTTTAACTAGATTGCTAATTGAGGATTTCTCAAAGAAATAAACTGTCTTTTAAAGGGCCAGATTACCTTCTGAAAGAAATCACATGCTAGCAGTGAAATAGTTTGAAAGCAGATGAGTTCATTTCCTCTGTCTACTTTAAAATGGTTAAGTATAATTGCAAATGTATTCTTGAAGGAAATATAAGTGAAAATGCTTGTTTAGGGTATAATGATTTTAGATAACTTTTCTAAACTTGTATGTTTGCTGTCATTCATAAGAAAGTTGTTTGTTATTTTGTATATGCTTTAGAAAAACCTTTTTTTAAAAAACGATTTATTTATGCTTACAAAAACTAGGGTACAGACCAGAGGTGCTGGGGATGAGAGGATTCCACTAGAGACAGAATGGGGAACAGAACAGGCAGATTGACCGAAATACACTGCTGAGGGGAGCAGCAGGTGGGAGAGGAGAGGTCTGCTGTGCCATGTGGGTCTCCTCCTTGGCCAGGGGATTGAGCTTGTGTTGCAGTGGCTGCAGAGAGCTTCATAGGTTGCGCCTTAACCCCTTGCGCCACCAGGGAGGCCCTAGAATAACTTTGGTTTTATCCTTGATTTTGCAGAGTGGAGGCTGTGTCCCACAGATTCTGCCATCATGAACATATTTGATCGGAAGATCAACTTTGATGCACTCTTAAAATTTTCCCACATGTAAGTGTTTTGACCTTAACTGCAGTTTCTTTATGCCTTTCCTTTCACATCTAGTTTCATTTATTTTTCCTAGTTTATTTTTGTATTTGTAAGCTCACATTAACTGTACTGGAAGCCAGAGGATATGATAACAACACCCAGATTCTAAAGGGCTGCTATATAGAAAGCCAGTTATTTTACTTTAAGTACTGAATGTTCCTATTTGGGGGACTTTTGGCTCTTTCACAGCACTTAAGAGTCTGTTAGCTGATTTTCAAAACATTCTTTTTTAATTGTCATGTAACTTTCATATAATCCCTGGAAAGAAGAGAGGAAAATGATTCTTAGCTTAGAGATGATACTGGTCCTGGAGTGATGGCATTATTAACCTTCTTTCCTAGAACTCCCTCAACACAGCAGCACCTGAAGAAGGTCTATGCCAGTTTTGCTCTCTGTATGTTTGTGGCAGCTGCGGGGACCTATGTCCATGTGGTCACTCATTTCATCCAGGTAAGAATACTTCACACTCACAGTTAGTATAACACATTAGGAAGAAACAAACTCAGTATGGTATAAACCTATACCCCTCCTTAATCATATTTCATAGTTTGGGATCTGAACTCATCAGAACCAGTCATTAAATCTGGGCTTGTAGAACCATTTAAATTTTCTGGCTGCTCTGCCCTCTCTAGATAACAGAGGGTCTTAACCCTGACACTGAGTCATGTGCCTGCTGACGTACAAGACCCCCAGCCACTGAGTAGAGGCATGATATGCATGTTAGGATTCTTCTACACAGCAACCTTTTAACCTTTTCTTCTGTTCTTCTTTTTGCCTGAATGACTGGAACACTTGGGTACAAAAAACTGATTGTATGATTGTCAGAGACAGGGTTGAGACCTTTAACGAATTGGGCCATTTTGCTCTCTGATCCTTTTATATTTACATGGTGAGTGAAAATCTTCAACAAACTCTATGTTAGGGGAGTTTGGATTTGGCCACCAGGAACAGAAGGAATTATCAAAAAGTTTGAAGCTCTTACTAGCCAAAACTTAAAAGTGTCCTTTTTAGTGTAAGTATAGGCTGTACCTGTATTGGCATATGTCACTATTTTTTTTTTTTTTTAAAGATTTGTTTATTTTATACAAGCATTGGGTACAGTCAGAAGTGCGGGAGGGTGAGAGAATTCACCAGAGCCAGAGCGGGGAGCAGAGCAGGCAGAAGGACCGAAGTACACTGCTGAGGGGAGCAGCGGGCGGCAGGAGAGGTCTGCGCGCCATGTGGGACCCTCCTCCAGTGGCCGGGGAGCAGCCGGGGATTGAACCGGCGCTGCAGAGGCTGCGGGAAGCTTCGCAACACAGAGCTCAACCGCTGCGCCACCGGGGAGGCCCGGCATATGTCACTATTAAGGAGAACTATCTTTATGCTCTGGCTTTTCCACACAGAGATAGACAAAATTACTCCAGACACTCAAAGAACAGCACTTAGTCCCTGGAGTTTAAACTAAAACTATTCCACCTTTTAGGCAGAAGTGACACTTTAGATTTCTAGTTGTGTGTCTCTGTGTTTTCAAGTAGTGTAAAATAGTCATCATTATTTGTAGATTTCATATTTGTGAATTTACCTACTCACTAAAATTAATTTGTAACAAAAAAATCAACATTCATGGTGTTTTTATGTACATTTGCAGTTATATTCTGAGCAACAAATAATTTGACTTCCCCACTGTACCATGTTCTAGCTGAAGTTAAACGATGCAACACACAGCCTTGTTGCAAGCTCTTTTACTATAAACGAGTATCCTTTTCATGGTCTATTTCGTACCAATTTTTTTTGCATTTTTGTTGATAATTTTGTTGTTTAAAATGGTCCCCAAGCAGAGTGCTAAAGTGCTATCTAATGTCCTATGAAGACTGATGTGCCTTGCAGGGAAAACATATGTGTAGATAACCATTGTTCAGGCATGAATTACATGGTATTGGCCATGCGTTCAATGTTAATGAATCAACAATACATTATTAAATAGGTGTCTTTGTCCAGAAAACATGTATAAAATAAGGTTGTAAATGATCAGTGGTTGAAAATGTTGTGATCAGAGGCTTGCAAGAATCTAGCCTTTAATTCCTCCAGGAACAATTGTTCATTGTTCACTAATTCGTTTGTTCACATGCCTTTTCTGTGAAAAATGGCAATTGACTAGCTCTTCACGGAAAGCTGGCGCCTCATTGTCTATATGTATCCTTAACAGTTTCTCACTTTTTCTAATGCCTGTAGCTTTTGCAGCTTAGTTTTTATAAAAATAATTTTTTTCTTACAAAACTAACATGTTCATTGTTGAGAATTTAGAAAACAGACTAGTGAAAATATATGGGAAATACAAAGCATCTTAATCCCACCATCCAGAAATAACTACGGTTACCATTTTGGTACTTACCCTTTGTCTCAACATTCAGGCTGCTGCAGCAGAGTACATAGACCGCGTGGCTTAAACTACAAACATTTCTCAGTTCTGGAAGGTGCAAAATCAGAGTGCAGACAGAGTTGTTGTATGGTGAGGGCCTGCTTCGTGTTTTGTAAGTGGCCATTTTCTCGCTGCAGCAGAAGGGGCAAGGGAAGATTCCTTTTCATGAGAGCAGTAATTCCCTTTTTGAAGGCTCCGCCCTTACAACTTAATCACCTTCCAAACACCTTAAGTTCTTCCAGATGGAGGTTAGGATTTAAACATGAATTTTGGGTGGACCCCAACATTCAGTCTGCTTTCTCACACATATTTTCTCTATGTGTATATGTCTTCCTGTGTATTTTGAAGTGTTCACAAAGGGATCATTTCTACTTGTTCTACAAATTGGAATGTGCTTTTAAAAACACCTATCACTCTGCTTCATCTTTTCTATTTTTTGCGCAGGGCTCATAGCTTGACTTTTAGGTAGTTGTAGTTGATGGACTACCCAGCCCGGCGAAACCTACAACACCCACTGTGGTCCTTCAACGCTTCTGGTTTCTTTCCTCAGCCTCCACCGCCTCTTACATTGTCTCTAGGTTGAAGGAAGTATTAGGAAGTTCAGATGATTTGCACAATGAAGAAGCAGTGAAGTCCAGAAAATTTGTTAGTTTTAAGTATTTAATTTTTTTACTCTGCATCTAACAGGCTGGCCTGCTCTCTGCATTGGGCTCTCTGGGCTTGATGCTTTGCCTGATGGCAATACCTCACAGCCATGAAACTGAGAAGAAAAGGCTGGCGCTTCTTGCTGGATTTGCTTTCCTTACGGGTATGTTAAGGGATTAATCTAATTTTGCGGGTACTAGAGTGACTTTTTTTTTTTTTTTAAGATTTATTTATTTTATTTATACAAGCACTGGGTACAGTCAGAAGCACGGGAGGTTGAGAGGATTCGCCAGAGCAGGGAGCAGAACAGGCAGATGGATGAAGTACACTGCTGAGGGGAGCAGCGGGCGGCAGGAGAGGTCTGCACACCATGTGGGACCCTCGCCGGTGGCCGGGGATCGAACCGGCACTGCAGAGGCTGCAGGCAGCTTCGCAGCCCAGTGCTCAACCGCTGCGCCACCAGGGGAGGCCCTAGAGTGACTATGTTTTTAAAGAATTACTTCTTTATTGTAAGATTTTTGCGTAGAACAACTGGGGCGTAGGCCAGAGGTGCGGGGGTGGGGGGTGGTGGTGAGAGGATTCACCAGGGATGGAGTGGGGAACAGGAGATCCACTGAAACACACTGCCAGGGGAGCACCGGGTGAGACAGGAGAGGTCCACTGCGCTGTATGAGTTAGCTCCCTGGCTGGGGATTGAACTCAGGCTGCTTCAGCCAACGTTGTGGTAGCGCTGAGACTTTAATCCCTAGACCACCAGGGAGGCCTAGGACTATATTGTTAATATCTTTTTAGACTAAGGCCTGAGAGTTGTTTTGTTTTTTTTTTGATTCCCTTCAACTGGCACACTTAATGTTGTTCAATCTTCTATTTGAATATATTTTGCCTTGTACTGCTTTCTTCATATAGGTGAACCTTGCTTCCCCATCTAGAGGGTAAGCTCTGTGACTAGTGACTCTGACTTCTGCTTTTGTATCAGAAAATAAGCATTTGTGTGCTTGAATGAATAAAGTTCAAAAATTTAGGTGGCTTGACTTGTTAATGGTGGAAGATGTGGGAATCACATAGGCCCAAGATTCAGACTTCTTCGGGCGCATGCTGCTGGCGTGGGGCTGGGACCCGTGGCAGCTCTCATAGGCGCATCAGTTTGCACCTTGTAGACGGTTAATTAAGCCACACATTGAGTTCCGTCATAGGTGCGTATCAGCTCTGCTTGGCTGAGTCTCAAAGAATAAAAGCACGGGGAAGCAGGACTCAAAACTACATAAAATACTTCCAAAGCAACAATTGAGTACAACTCGTTCTAAGTGAGTCTGATATATATGGTGTTGAAATTCTAGAAAGGAAGGGATTTAGAGATTAAGATTTTCAGATCAGCAGAAGCTGGTGTTTGAAGGCATGAAGAAGTAGATTTATCAGAAGGAGATGGTAGAGTAGCCAGAGGAGAGGAAATGTTGGCGCGGGAACAGATTGCTGCTGTGTCCTCTTGTTGGCAAGTGTTCACCTCCAGAACCGGTCTGGCCTTTTTTGCTACAAAGGCATTCAGTCCTACATGATGACTACCAGGTGGCTCACCACTAGACTCTTTGCTCTCTTTATCCTTCTCTTGTATTTGAATTCCTGATCTGGCCCACATCATGGGCTCATGTCACTCCTTTTTGGAATTTTGCAGCCTTATGACTTGTCTCGAAAATGTTTGCTGTGTTTGCTCAATTTTTCCTGGTGTCATCTAGGATTTTTAGCTAATAGGACAGTTTTTGCATCTGTCAATAAAATAACTCAGTTAAATTTACATTCTCTTAAAAATAAGGATGGAGGAGAGATTGATTTCTTTTGTACACATTTCATGTTTGTCTTAGGAGCATGGCATACCTGTGCCATTACGTCACCAACTTTTAGGTGAGTGTCTTCTTCAAGAATTGATAGTAATATTGTGCCTGGGACTTCTTGTTTTCTAGGAGTTGGCCTGGGCCCCGCTCTGGAGTTGTGCATTGCCATCAACCCCAGGTGACTTTGTCTTCTTAGTTGTGTGAATATACCCTTTGACTTCAGACCTCTGGCCCTCGGTCTAATGGTCTTTTCCTTAACAGCATCCTTCCCACCGCCTTCCTGGGCACAGCAATGATCTTCACCTGCTTCACCCTGAGTGCACTCTATGCCAGGCGCCGTAGCTACCTCTTTCTGGGAGGTAAGTGTGAACTGGCAAACAGTGGAGAGAGTCTCTGCTCTAGCAAGGATTCTCACCCAACTTCTTGTGACTGTTGAGATTGAAAACCTTCATTTTCAGTGGGGGAAAGTAGGAATGATCTTACTGGCATTGCTTTGCTTTATTTTAGCGTCTCTCAAGATGACTTTGTGTTGTCTTACAGGTATCTTGATGTCCGCCATGAGCCTAATGCTCTTTTCTTCCTTGGGGAACCTTTTCTTTGGATCCCTTTGGCTTTTCCAGGTAAGACTGCATATAACTTTCTAGGACCATTTGCCTAACTCTAAAGCAGACTAAGAATCCTTCAAAATACTTTTGTTGGGAAATGCTCGTGAAGCCTCCCCTGTATCCCTCCTGGGATAGAGCCTTCTGCTACGGGTGAAAGGTCAGACTGACCGGGCATTGCACATTTGTCAAGAGATGGAGAATTATTCATTTTTCTAAGGCCACTTCAGTGGTGGCTCCTTGTTAAAATGATTGAAACTCTTCCAGTGGCCTAAAATATAAATGCAGAATTGTGCCTAGGAAAGTAATGTGGTCTTTACTGTAGACTTTAGTTTCCATGACTATTCATGTCTCTGTGGTTAGCATTTTTTTTTTTTTTTTTAAAGATTTATTTTCATGCATACAAGAACTGGTTGTAGACCAGAGGTGCGGGGTGGGGTGGGGTGGGGTGAGAGGCTTCACCGGAGAGTGGGTAGCAGAACAGGCAAATCTACTAAAATACACTGCTGAGGGGAGCAGTGGGTAAGACAGGAGAGGTCTGCTGAGCCATGTGGGTTGCTTCCTGGCAGGCTGGGACTCAAACTATGTGCTGCAATAGCTTAATAGTGCTGTGTCTTTAACCCCTGTGCCACTAGGGAGGCCCTTCTGTGGCTAGCATTTGATACTTCTAAGTGGCCTAGAGCCAGAAAGAAGTACGACTGTCTTTTCCCTACAGTATATACCGCATGGTAACTTCACCTCATTCTTTTATCAGGCAAACCTGTATTTGGGACTGGTGGTGATGTGTGGCTTTGTCCTTTTTGATACCCAACTCATTATTGAAAAGGCTGAAAATGGAGATAAGGATTATATCTGGTGAGTGTGAAAACTGGTCTTTATGAATATAAAGGGTGAGGCATACTGTTCATTCCAAGGCTCTTTTCTAAAATTCTGGGATAATCCTTTGCCTGACCCACCTTTCTCTCCACAGGGGGCTGAGGGTAGAACAGGTTCGCTGAACTTATGGGGACCATCTTTGGGAGAGTATATGGTCGGGTACCCATGGTGATGGAACAAATCTCAGGACTAGTTATTGATAGTTCAGGGGTCAGACATGGACCTCCGCAGAGTCTAAGCCCAGTTTTCCTTTCCTCTGGTACGTGATGGCTGCTTTGCGTGAGAAGGGACCCTGACACTGGAGTCACTTTCTAGATAGTGTTGAAATGGGCATGGGGGTGGGGCTTTATGTCATTTGCCTTTGTGAACTTATAAAGAAAATTGGGAAGTAGAGTTCGCCATCTGGTTCTCTTTCAGGCACTGCGTTGACCTCTTCCTAGATTTTGTTACCCTCTTCAGAAAACTCATGATGATCCTGGCTATGAACGAGAAGGTTAGTCGGCCCCCGACCTGGCGCTGAGCTCAGCATGTCTGTCCTTCAGATTTGAAAACCTCACACACTGTGTAAGGTCCAGGGTAGCTGTTGGGCAGGCCATTGGTAAGAGGTGAGCCAGAAATCTTTAGCTGGTGGGGGAAAAAAGAACAAATACAAATAATCCTTAAAGAGAAAAAAGAATCTGAGATTAGTATCAAAGGGAAAAAGCTAGTGGCAGCGACACCCAGACATTGAGAGTACATAATACCGGGTTCATTTTTTTTTTCTCCAGAGACACATTGTGTACATGGTTAGAGTCTGACATGGTTAGTGTCTGACATGGTTCAACAGGAAGGGAACAAACGAAATGAGGAGCTTTTTTAAAAAGGAGCAAGAGACAGTGCAGTGGTCGCAGCAGGAACTAGATGGGTTGATGGTTCTTTGCCTGAATGGACCGAGCACCAAGGTCATTGCCCCAGTTTCTGTCAGAACAACTCAGTGTTGAGTCTTTTAGTACATTGGGCTTTACCTAACATGGAACGAGATTCTCTCTGAATCGTGGTTTATGCCCTGGATTGATGCTGCCTTCTCAGGTTTAATGGGGAAGTAGTGGTCTGCACTTCTGAGTTTTTTTTTTTTTTTTTTTATAGAGGCATTTTTTTTAATTTATTTGTTTGTTTGTTTGTTCGTTCGTTTTGTTTATACATGCGCTGGGTACAATCAGAAGCGCGGGAGGGTGAGAGGATTCACCAGAGCCAGAGCGGGGAGCAGAGCAGGCAGAAGGACCGAAGTACACTGCTGAGGGGAGCAGCGGGCGGCAGGAGAGGTCTGCGTGCCATGTGGGACCCTCCTCCGGTGGCCGGGGAGCAGCCGGGGATCGAACCGGCGCCACAAAGGCTGCGGCAGCTTTGCAACCCAGCGCTCAACCGCTGCGCCACCGGGGAGGCCCACTTCTGAGTTTTTTAAGGTGACCTGCCAGGCCGTCGTCCTCGTTGGTTGGCACCTGAGATGGGGGTGGTCGAGTGGTCGGGCAGCTCTCCCAGATGCTCTGGGCGCGGGAGTGGGAGCAAGCGCTTAACTCTTGTTCTTGTCAAAGTGTCAGCAGACTGGGGGACCGCCAGTGGAAGGTGGTTAAGATTCGGTTCCTGCTGTGTCATAGGAGCATTTCTGGTTCTTTCCTGTTGGCCTGACCCCCTCGGGTATGGGCTCGCTCAAGAGCTTTAGCTGGAATGGTAGATGCCAAAATTAATTGATTCCCCCCCTTCGTTTCTAGGATAAGAAGAAAGAGAAGAAATGAAAGGCCATCTAGCCTGTCCCGGTTTGACTTCCCTCCACCCCTCATTTCCTCTTTGCACACATTACAGGTGGCGTGTTCTGTGATAATGAAAAGCATCAGAAAAGCTTTTGTACTTTGTGGTTTTCTCTATTTTGAATTTTTTGATCAAAAAACTGATTAGCAGACTATAGTTTGGAGTTTGGCTTCACATTCCCGAGGTTTGTCCCCATTCCCTTCCTCTCAGCCCCATCCCTAGCCTCTTCCTTTGCCCAGGCTGCCAGTCCTCCGTGACGAGGAGCGTGACACAGAGGAAGCAAACTCCAGGGGTCTGCTTTCCGACATGGCGGCACCAAGGGATTCGGACTGTTCGGTAGCGCCTCCTCGCCTGTCCCTTCCGCAGCGTTACTCAGCTGGCGCGGTTGTTGTGGAACCAGGCAGTGTTTGCCACTGAAAAGAAGTTTGCTGGTGGGTCTGAGCTTCTGTCAACCCCTACAAAAGATATGAAGAGCCTCTTTGGTGGATGCTTTGCTTCCTTGAATTGCCCAAGTTGCTGCAGGTCTGGCAGACACGCCTTTCTGCCTGGCCGTATGAAAGGAATATGAGTTTGTGTGTGTGTCCCCTTTCCTGTCTCTTTTCTGGCCCTCCACGAGTCGGCCTGCTCTCCGGCCATGGGGTGGGAGGATTTCAGCACAAAGGGAAGACCTTTTCTTGTGTGGCATTTATGAAAAGGCTGTGTGGCAACCATAGAATCCCCAAACTTCCTGAGTTTTTTTTTTTTTTTTTTTTTTAAACTGGTTATCACCTTAGTTGCTCCACCAGCTGACTGTGTTAAATGTTCTAGAAAGGAAGATACAGGGAAGGGGATTGGTTGAGCCATGGGGGTAGTTGGAACTAATCCTGGGAGACAAACCCAGAGAAGGACTTGTTTGGGGGAGGGGAGAGCTAAAGCTGATATAACTGAGTGGTTCTTTGATCAGATCAACAGAGTGGGAATGTGATGACGTGGGCGGCAGCATTCCTCACAGTTCCTCGGTGCATTTCTCTCATTTCCCACCTTGACACAGTGGTCTCAAGCCAGAGACTCGGGGCAGTAGGTGTTTGTTTTCCACATGTGCTTTAGTTTTTGGCTTGTTTACCTGTTGAACAAAAATGTACAACCTTCCAGAGGAGGCCCAGGTACTAAACCTGCAGTATCTGATCCCCTGCAGTTTTGTGCTTGCAGGTGTAGGAGGCAGTGCTAGTGGGGATCCCCAGCTCCTCCCGGGGGTGGCGGACGGACAAGCAGCCTTGGCAGCTTGTAGTTCTGGGATTTCAGGGTAAAGGGGCCTGAGCCATTGAAGGCGCGCGGCGGCTGGCCTCCCCGTGAGGCTGTCGCTGTGCACAGCCGGCGGCCCACGGAGTCGCCCCGTGGCTGTGGGGGCACAGTGCACCTAGGAACAGAATGCTTTGTTCCTGGGCTGTGTGTATTCCTGGAGGGACATGACACTGCTGCCTCCAGTCTCTGGCTTGAGAACTTACTAAAGCGACTTCCTTCTCATGCAACCCCCACTAGCAACTTTCCACAAATTGGTTGATTCTCTGCTAGTTCTGAGAATCTGAATTATATCTCTTGAAGCCAAACTCCACCTCTTGTGCTTTTTTGCTTGGGATAAAGGAATTTTTCTTTAGAAACAGTGCCAAGAATGACAAGATATAAAAAACTACTTTTAAAGAAAATGCCTAACAGGTTTTTAATACAGTAATCACTGTAATTATCACTTTCTTTTCTAGTTCCTTCGTTTTCAGCTCAGGCTGCATTCTCTAACTCATACTGTGAAGACAAAGGTGTTTTTGATTCAGAAATATATGAGATCTACATAGTCTTAATTTGTAAAAAATAAAGAAAATTCCTTAACCTTTCCTGGTAGTGTGTGTTAAATTCCGCGTCACAGTTGAACATCGGTCTTGGGTATTGTCTGACTTGCTGGTGGGGGCGCTGGGAGTCAGTCAGGATGACATTTCTGCTCAGGTTTGAACAGTAAAAAACAAGGCCCACCCCCCATCCCCACCCACACTTAGGTGCTTGTTCCGTGGTGCTGCAGCTCGCCACAAATGGGGATTTTCTCTGTTCACTACACAGCCCGGGGCTTTTTCTGGTTCTCCCCCTTCGCTTTTACAGTAAGTGGTTTATGGTGACCGCATTTGCAGTTGGTTCCATTGTACCGCTGTGCTTTGGAATTTGGGGACTCATTCTGCGTCTACCCACTGTGGCCAGGCTCTATTCTGGGTGCTAGGAACCACCAGTGAACAGTATAAATAAAAATCCTGCCCTAATAAGAGTGTGTGAAATGATAAACAAGTTTGCATCATAATCAGATACTCCATTTTGCCATGCCTGCCCTCCGCTTGTTCAGGTCGCGGATTTGCCTGCTGGGCCGCCCACTCCCCGTTGACCTCTTGGGACTCCACCCGCCCCCCCGTCCCAGTTAAGGGTCTCCGCTTCTTTCCCCGACTGGAAAGCGCGCCTTAATTATCTTTTCATCTTTTTTTTCTTTCTTGCTGACGGAGAAGTCTCGACTCCAAAGCCCAGTTTTGCCCTGCGCTGCCTTCTGTTTTGGGTCTGGGATGCGAAGTCAGGAGCAGAATGGGGCTGTGACGACTTGGGAGGCAGCAAACACAGGTTTTGTTTCATATTCCCAATAGCCTTGAGTAACTTCACGGTCATGACAGGTGTGGGTGCGGGGAGAACACGCAGGTGCTGTCCCCAGCAGCCCCTCCTGCTCCTCACCGTTGCGCTGTATAGGTTGGTGCCACCTGGGCTGATCCCGTCCTGGCCATTCTGGCTGGATCTGGTGGCGCCTGCTGGGTTGAGAGGGCGATGGCAGCAACATCTCCCTCAGGAGAGTGTTTCGGAGAGGACACCTGAGCTAAGGCTGCATCTGGAAAGCTGGAAGTGATGAGGGAAGAAGAAAAGCGATGAGGGAAAACAAAGCCAGAGGGAAAACAAAAACACCGGATGATTTCACGTACAGCAGGAATATAGGGGAGCCTAGAAGACAGTGTGGGAAAAGATAAGAGTACACAACACAACAAAGCACAACAGACAATTACAAATCAGACATGCTGCAGGGGAGGAGGAGGGAGAGGGCTCGGAGGGAGGGAGGAGAAGAGACTGTGGTGATGGTGCCGGGGAAGGAAATTCTATGGGGACTCAACCTGAGGGGGTGGCGGAAGAAAACACTGTTTTGAAAAAAAGGAAAAAATTAAAAAAAAAGCCATGGGAAAGACTTCCCAGATCAAGAGGTATTAGAAAAGGCACACGGTTGGCATGGGGCGTGCTGGGTGAGACAAAGTTGTTTTGCTGAGTTGGAAAGCTTAAGGAGGCTAGTAGGAAATGCGATGAAGGTTCAAATAGGTAAACGGGGCCTCCCTGGTGGCGCAAGGGGTTAAACTCAGCACTCTGAAGCCAGCACCAGCCACTGCAGCGCGAGTTTGATCCCTAACCAGGGAGCTGACCCATGTGGCCAGCAGACCCCTCCTGTCTCTCCCGCTGCTCCCCTCAGCAGTGGATTTCAGTAGATCTGCCTGTTCTGTTCCCCACTCTGTCTCTTCCCCCCACATCTCTGGCCTACACCCCATCTCTTGCATGCATAAATAAATATTAAATAGGTAAACAGCTGGTTTTAGGTGCTAAGGAACTGGTTTTGTCCTGTGGGAAGCAGTATGGAAGGGCTGTGAGCAAGGGAGTGGTCAGGTCACATTTTCCCTTCTCAGGTAACTAGAGAACAGCCTGGGAGAAGGAAAGGTGCTTATATGCCAATGTGGCTGTAGTTTCTCATCTCCCACTAAAAGGAGCCAGAGCCTTGAGAAGTGCATAGAGGTCTGCATGGGGGGTGTCCAAGATGAACCTGGAACGTGGTGTTACAGCAGAGAAGCTACCAAAGATGACTTACAGGGGCCTCCCTGGTGGTGCAAGGGGTTAAGACACGACCTGTGAAGCTATCCGCAGCCACTGCAGCACGAGTTCAATTCCTGGCCAACCAGGGAGCTACCCACATGGCGCAGCAGACCTCTCCTGTCTCTCCCGCTGCTCCCCTCAGCAGTGTATTTCTGTAGATCTGCCTGTTCTGCTCCCCACTCTGGTGAATCCTCTCACCCCCCACACCTCTGGCCTGTACCCGGTTCTTATATGCATAAACAAATCTTTTTTTTAAAAGATGGTAAAAAAAAAAATATATATATATAAAAGATGACATAATTCACCAGGGCTCAGGCTAACCTAGAGAGACTCCTGCTGGCTGAAGATGGATCATTTGAGCTTTGATAGAGTTGCAAGTGCAGTGGATGGAAAAATTTTAAAGCCCTAAGATCATGGTGACATTTTAAAAATATATTATTGGACCTCCCCAGTGGTGCAAGGGGTTAGAAGCTGTCCTGCAGCCACTGCAGCATGAGTTCCGTTCCCACCCAGCCAGGGAGCTAATCCACATGGCACAGCATGTGGAGATATACATACACACACACACACACACACACACACACACACACAGCTCCCCTCAGCAGTGTATTTCAGTAGATCCACCTGCTCTGCTCCCCACTCTGTCTCTGGTGAATCCTCTCACCCACTGCATCTCTTACCTGCACCCCAGCTCTTGTATGCATAAATCTTAAAACCCCTAAAATGAGGGTGAGCGCCCTGCACTCCCTCTTTGCACCACAAGGTGGCAGTTCAGACCCACAAACCTCCCGGGTGGGCGCTGCTGTCTGTACCACCTCATGGCAATATTTTCCAATTGTTCTGTAGGAAATGATTTTTTTAGTTTAAATAATTGAAAACAACATATGGGGCAACATTAAATTTTCATTTTTAAAATAACTCCTTGGAGAGCCTCTCTTAGAGAGGCTCTCCAGCGCTGCTCTGTTGGTATCCACCTCAGGGAACCGTCCGGTTTCCTGACGGCTTCTGCTGCCCACTGCCCTGCCGGGTCTCCCCTGCGGGAGCCACTCTCTGCATTTATCAGAGACCCGCCGCCCGCTCTCCTGCTCCATGACCCTTCAGAAGGCCTTTGGGTGACCTGCTACCAGCTACCGGGTCCTGCATCTCCACCCCTCTGGGGGTTTTCACCTCTGCCTCCTCCCGGCCAGCTACACTGGCTATGGCGCCCCGCTCCTCTCTCTGACACACCCCACATCCTTCCAGCCTCGCGTCCCCTCTCCTTTTGTCTTTTCTTTTTTTATAAATTATTTTATTTTATATAATTCTTACATCATTTTTCATTTTTGCATGATGTATGCATTTTCATCTGGGTTATATTCCCCGTACAGTTCCCAGCCCCTTATTCTAACCCAAATCCCTCTTCTCCCCCCCCCCCCCCGGCCCCCACTGTGGTGCCCTCGCCCTTTTTCACCTACACTTTGGTTGCATTGAAACCCCAGCCCTGACCCTTAAGTCCCTCCGCTTTCTCCTGCCCATTCAGCTCTCTCCTACCTTCACCTCTTCGCTGTGATTTTGGGTGCAGACTGCAGAGCTCCCCTGGCTTTCGATCGATCACAGATCGCAGCGCTGACGTACTTCAGCTCCCGAACCTCACTCTCTCACACTGAAATGGGGGTAACAATGACACCTACCTGAAAAGATCCTGGTGGGCGTTAAGCTGCACTTAGATTTACATATGCACATGCGCTAAGAACAGAGCCTGGCACACTTCACGTGCTGCGCCTGGGTTGCTCGTATTTGGTATCAGCGCTGGTCAGGCTAAGCCTAGGGTGCATCAGCTCATCAACCACCTCAGCTCCTTATCAGCAAAGCCCGTCCTTGCCCTAACCCCACCATCTTGCTTCTCTACTCCTAGAACCAGGCTCTGCACTCTGTTAAGAGCAAAACAGCAACCAGGGAAGCCCCGCTTTCCCGCAGATCGGCGCCACAGGACATGCCCGTTGCTGGGCCTCCACTGCACTGCAACTTCCTTTGAAAGTCTCTGACTTGTCCTTAGCCTGTCCCTGTTCTCTGCCCGCAGTGACCATTCCAGCTTTCCCCACTGTCCCCCTCCACATGGTGAAACGCAAAAGGTATAAAGGGGACAATGAAATGTGATCCTCTGTGGTAAACTGAGCAGCACAATCACCATATTTTGTACCTGATCCTGTTAATGTTTTGACTCCTCGCCTTCCACACGCCACTTCCCAGAGCCCCCACATTCCCTGTCAGTTCCTGTCTCCCGACACCCTCCACCGGCCTCTCCAGTTTAAGGCCCTTCATCACAGATGCGGGAGCACAGCCCCTGTGAGGGCCCCTCTGCTCCCCTCTCCCTGTGGAGTGGGTCCCTCAGTCGCAAGTCACTTTAAAATAGTTTAGGAGAAAAAAGGTATTTTGTTCTGTACTTGAAAGAGTTACACAAGTTTGAGATAGGGGCCTCCCTGGTGGTGCAAGGGGTTAAGAACCTATGAAGCTCACCGCAGCCTCTGCAGCACGAGTTCCATCTCCAGCCAGGGAGCTACCCACATGGCGCAGCAGACCACCCCTGTCTCGCCCACTGCTCCCCTCAGCAGTGGATTTCAGTAGATCTGTCTATTCTGCTCCCCACTCTGTCTCTGGTGAATCCTCTCACCCCGCCACACACACCTCTGGCCTGTACCCCAGTTCTTGTATGCATAAATCTTTTTTTAAAAAAAGTTTGAGATAGTTTCAAAAATAAGAGTTAAAAGTAGCATAAGATTCATTTCTTGACCCCTCATCCCTCTCTTCTCCTCTCCCAACTCCTCAGGCGACTGTCTATTCCCCAACCTCACCTTTCTCATCTTCTGCCAACCGCTCCAAACAGCTTCCATTTCCATCACTGATTTTTCCGAGGTTACCAATGAACACTGTCGCCTAATTCAGAAGACAATTTCTGGTCCTCATTGTCAACAGAATTTGTCTCTGATTCATCTTT